GAGAAATCAAAAAGAAGTAGCGATTAAAGAAGATTCCAGGAGGCAATAAAGCATTTATGCAAAATGTCTCATAAAAACAAAACAAATAAGGAGAAAGAAGCTATATTGGGGGAGCCAGGGGAGAGGTACTTACACTCTTCTTCCATAACAACTATTTTAGTTTCTGAGGCTGGTAAGACTTGTGGTGCTTTCGTTGTTCCTGGGGAAATTAAGGTAAGAAAGTAGTGAACAAAATATCTATTCTGAACAGAGAAGAGTGGGCTTAGCTACTGCAGGGAGGAGGACAAGAGCGGGTGCTGCTGGGTGGCACAGGCTGGGGTGGCTGTCAACGTGTTAGTACTGGTTAGAGTACGCTCAGATGGGTAACTGGGCAACAGAGGCAGATAAACGAGTGGCCTTGCAGGGGACGGCACAGGGCACGCTGGTCTCCTCGCTGTAAAGGATCTCATGCCATTAGGATCTCTGTCGTGATAAAAAGGCAGAAATGGCTCACGATTCACCCAGCAGGTGATGAGCGAAACTGGGGGAGGTTTTCTTAGCCCTGACGGCCACGAGAGTGCAAAGACGGGATCACAGAACACGACAGTGAGAAAAATGTGGAGTTTAAGAAAAGGTGAGATCATCTGAAGAGCCTCCATCCCACAAGTATGTGCAGTTCTGCAGCACAAAGTCATGCTCGTACAAGAGATGGAGGAGCATGAAACAGATGAAGGCCATGGCCCAAGGCCGTGGAGCCGAGCACATGTAGCAACTTCCTCTTTATAAAGACCAGGATACTGGGAAAGTCCAATGTCTGCAGTCACCAGCTCTACTCAAGCCCACTGGCAGCAACAGCCCCTTCTGGATCAAAGCCCCTCACCACCCTCTAGATGCACAAAGGAGAAAGCACCAGGAGCCTACGCTGTGCGTGCTGCACCCTGTCAGAGATAGGGGGCGAGACGACCAGGAAAAGGTAAAAGCAGAAAGAATTTTTTATAAAAGTTTGATTTTTCCTGCAGTGTTTAGCAAAGGGGGAGGGGGGTGTCAGTTAAGGAGGTGTCTAGAAATTTTCTGAGGAAAAGAAGAGTCTGAAACAGTCACATCTCAGCTGTGCCCTCATGCCCATGTGATACCAATATTAGAGTACTCAATAAAGAGAACTGGGAAATCGGACATTTTTCTAAGAAAGCATCTAATTTACCTCAAAGTAATAAAAATCTGAAAATAGCACCAAAGCACAATATGTTTTGGTTAAGCCCAGAAGCATTTCCTCAGAAACTGACACCTCCCAAAGCTTTTCAATGCAAAAGCATTTATTTCTGAGCTGGGCATTTTGTGGAAATACCAGAACTGCAGAGGAGAGATGAGGTGATGGGTTTGGCTGATGGGCATTTTCTAAGTGACAAGGGCTCGCTGCACTGCAGCCACTCTCTTTCTAAAGAAAACCTCTCTTCAGTGTGGTGTTTTCGGTGATTTGCAACAGATCTGCATGGCTGAAAAGGTGCTCTTTTGAAACTGGTATAAACCAAAAAGTGGTAGTGGAATAGACCGAAGAGTACTTCGCAATGGCAAGGCTGCCTCATCACGCTGAGAAATTTTTACCAGCAGAGGCTGAATCTCAGACCTTCACATCCATGGGCCTGAGGCGCTCATGTGTGAGCTCCTTCTCTGCCAGCCAGGACTCGCGTGGGCTCAGGAGCCTCCACCTCTGGCCTCTGCACCCGTGGAGGGGAACGGTGTGTTGGGCTGAGGACACCTTGCTCCTCCACGATGCTCATCTCAAGCCTCAACAGCTCAGGCCACCTCTCGCAATGCCACCTCTCTACAGGGGCAACCAGAAATGTCCCCAAACCTCATGTCTCTGTATCACAAGATGCAGTGTTAGCTCAGGACTTTTTCCAAGTCCTGGATTCACCCGCCTGTGTCACAGCAACATTACAGGACCTCCAACAATACTGCTAAGTGTCAGGTCAGAAAGTGTGCTTCCAGCAGACGGTCCCAGAGCATCAGTCGCAGCCAGCCTGCCCGGGACAGGCAGATGCACCAGGTTCCCAGGGACAGGGCAGCAGTAAAGAAGCAGAATATAAAGCAGCAGAACTTACAGAAACTGCAATAGCTGGGTGAGCTTCTGGGAAAGAGGGGAAGGCTCTGAGGGGAGGCCAGCTCACACTTCTGCTCT